TTTTTATTCATTGGAATGTTGTTTTTGATTGATTTATCAACAAATATATTGTTTGAGATTTTTATGTTTATAAACAATATTAATTTATATAAAAATATTTAGATAATATTTTACTACGTATTTTTATTTTTTTTTTATTCATTGGAATGTTGTTTTTAATTGATTTATCAACAAATATATTGTTTGAGATTTTCATGTTTATAAACAATATTAATTTATATAAAAATTTATAGATAATTTTTCACATGTGTTGTTCATATTAACAAATATGAATTTTAATTGAAATAAATCTTAAACATGATTATTTTTCAGTTACATTTGTGATATATTTCTTGTATAATAAAGACAACAAAATTTACGTCAGGATATATATTTTATAATTCAGTTGCAAAAAAAAGAAACACACTTTTATTTATTTTGTTCCTCACCCTCCTCGTTTATTCCCATTTAATTCTGGTAATAAAGATCATTTCTTATCTCGGTGTAATAAGAAAAATAAGAAGTAAAAGTACTATGGGGAAAAAATAGAAAGAATATCCAAAAAAAGAAGAAAGTAAAAAAGAAATTATTACGAAAAGAAATTAGAACCAACGTGTACTATTCAGCGAATAGGAAAACAGGCTTTTCGGCCATTAATGTGTACGTCTTTTATAATAAAATAGAGCAACGGTATCTTTCGTTTTATATACGTCGTCTTTCGTAAAAGTTTGTACAAGTATGGTTGTTGTATACGAACGTCCACCCCTTCACCCACCCACCACCACCACCCCTCTACAACCACCAACAAGAACACCACGTCTTTCATTTAAAAACTGTGCACGTTTCGTGTCCTGAGAACCTTTCTCTTTCTTGCACGCAGAAAATAAAGAGAAAACAAAATAATTAGAAAAAAAAAAGTAAAGTAAAATAAAAATACAAAAGATTGCAAGTGTGTATACATATAAAACATATTTTACTAACATATTTCTATAGATCTTAACTCATGGGAAAAGGGATTTGAAGTTTCAACAAAAATATTAAGGAAAATAAATTTAAAATAAAAAAGGTTGGATCTGAGAAAATGAAAGAATGGGAAAGAACAATTGAAATATATCTTTTTTTTATTTGTAGTTTCGTTGGTTATTTCTCGTTTTTTTTTTTCTATCGTGTAAGTTCAGGATGAAAATTTAGTTTTGTACCACGTGAAAAGTAGAGAATTGTGCATATAGAGTTTGCAGATTGCAGCTGTTGAATGCAGACGTCAAAAAAGTCTTGACTTAACGCCAAGTTTATTATTTCTTTTCTTTTCTTTACTTTTCATTTCATTTTCGGTATTTTATTTTATTTTTCTTTATTTTTTTTTCAATTCTTTTTTTCCTCCTCCTCCTTTCCTGAACTTTTCTAGTTTTCTACTTTTCAACGTTATACGGTGTCTCAAACCGAGATTACAGGTTTATATTAAACTCTTGCTCTCGTAGTCGACGTTATTTCAAGCAAATGATGGCAAAACATTTTCTTTCATTATTTTTTTTTTTTTATTTCTTTCTACGATTTTAAGGAGAACACACACACAGACTCATGTAAAGTATGTTAAGAAAATAATAAGAAAAAAAAAATTACGTGTGTGTGTGTGTGTGTGTATAATAATTTATGAAAAGTTAGTAAAGAAAGTTGGAAAAACTAGACCGGAAATATTTTTCTAAGTTAATTTTTCTCTCTCAGGTTTTTTTAAAACATGCACATTGATTATCCATCATTCGGTAGAAAAAGAAAAAAGAAAGACGAGCTACTTGAAAAAGTTACTTACTTATGAATTCAAAAATTAACTTACTCTTATCCGAGAGATTCTTTTTCTTTTTACCAACTAATTCTTTTCATATCGTAATACTATAAATTTAAAAGGAGAAATATGAAATCTAAGAAAAAAATTGTTGGATAAATTAAATTTCCAACTGTAAGTTTGGCTGTTATTAAATAATATTTATAATTGCAATCTTTTTTTTCGTAAAATGAAATAAAAATAATAAATGCAATTGTATTTTGAATACAGAAAAGGAATGAACAAAATTAGAACTTAGGTAAACTTTTGTCTCACCCTGTAGAAAAAAAAAGCAAGAATAAAGAAGAATAATATTCGTAACAATAATTCTCTTTAAAAATAAAGTAAAATAAATAAAGCAACCGTATTGAACGTAGAAAGTAGAATAAAAAGAATAGAAATCAGTTTAATTGAAACTTTTATTCCCATTTAGTAGAAATAAAGTAGAAGTAAGAAGCTAGAATATAAGATTATGAAATAATATAGTTTACCAATAAAATTATACTCTTAAAAACAATCATCAGAAAATAAAATAAAAGAAAATAAATAAAACACCAATTAGAAACCAGTTAAATAGAAACTTTTATTCCCACCCAGTAGAAAGAAAGCAGAAGCAAGAAGTAAGAATAAGAATATAAAATAATATAGTCTACAAATAAGATAATATTCTTAAATATAATCATCCAAAAAAATAAAATAAAATAAAATAAATAAAGCACTAATTAGAAACCAGTTAAATAGAAACTTTTATTCCCACCCAGTAGAAAGAAAGCAGAAGCAAGAAGCAAGAATTAGAACATGAAATAATATATATAGTTTATCAATAAAATAATATTCTTAAAAACAATCATCCAAAAATAAAATAAAATAAAATAAAATAAAATAAAAAGTACACTAGATTAGAAAATTATTTGCTAACTAGTTAGATTTTTATTTACACTCAGTGTATAAAGAAAGTAGAAATAAGAATGTAGAATAAGAAGAATAAAGAACATAGTTTAACAGTAAAATAATATTCTTCAAACACAATCATCCAAGAAAATTAAATAAAATAAAATTAAATAAAATAAAATAAGAGAACCAATATTAGAAAATTATTTTCTTCCTAGTTAGATTTTTATTTCCATCCAGTAGAAAGAAAAAAGAATAAAGAACATATAATTTACCAATAAAATAATATTCTTTAAAACAATCATTCAAAAATAAAATAAAATAAAAGCACCAATATTAGAAAATTATTTGCTAACTAGTTAGATTTTTATTCTCACCCAGTGTATAAAGAAAGCAGTAATAAGAATGAAAAATAAGAAGAATAAAGAACATAGTTTACCA